CTGCTGCCAGCCCCAGATGCCCTGGTCTCGCCTTCAGACACAGGCTGGGGATGACAACCTCATGGCCCCAGCTTAGGACCTCCGGGCCTGGGATGGGGTGGTGCTCCTGGCTGTCCTGACCCTTGGCACACAGATAGGGGACTGTGGGGTGCATGAAACCCAGCCATTCAGCCTGAGTACCCTCACAGGAAGAAAGGAGACGGAGAAAAGGGAGGAAATCGGGAAATGGGCGGGGAGCGAGGACCTCATCCGAGTGTGCTAGACGCAGGTATAAACATGCCAAAGTGAAAGTCGTTACAGACAGCGAATATGCACTCGCAAAGTGTCCCTCTAAATTAATCTCCTCGCTCTCCGTCTCTCTCTGCCGCTCTGTCACTGTCTCTCTCTCTCCCCAGTTCAGCATCTCAGAAGAACCCTGACTAATGCAAACGTCTTACAGCCCCCGCTGCACCTCCCAGCATACTATCCTGTCTGATTTCAGTATTTGGTTTTAACCTCATTCCATGAGTTGGGAGCTGTTCCCCGCTCTCCCACTCTCTGGGAGAGTGGATGGTCAAGACACATCCTAACTGCATGCATGTACATGTGCACACACACACACGTGCTCTCCCGCCAGCGTGTCCCTGGGTTCACCCAGGACCCAGCCCCACTGCCCAGTGGAGAATCCTCACGTTTCTTGTTCGAGGCCCATGTGCTGGGGGTGATTAGATGTAAACTTGCCCCTTAGTCCTGGAAAGGACTGCATAGATGGGAAGGGGAGAGCTAAAGCAACTCAGGGCTTTGCTCTCAGCCTTTCCTTAGCTGTCTGCCCACCAAAAGGAAGAACCACTGAGTTCGTTTGGGGAACTTTCTAACTTTGCCAGCGTGAGCAAAATGCCCGTGCACAAGTACAAGCCACCAAATACAAACTGCGTCACTGCAGTGATTCGACAGACAAGTCAGCAATCTTATATGAGTGTTTAAACTCGGTACTGCACGGTGCTTTTCAATTCCTGGACCACAGCTGAAAAGAGTGTGGGTCACAGGGCCCCAGGAAGAGGGAGGCGGAATGCAGGCAGATCCAGGGGTGAGACGGGCAGAGTCTTTATAGACTGGTAAACCTTTCCCCATCGGTGGACTTAGAGCCCCGAAAGTTCCTTACAGAGTCATAGCATGCCAGACATGGTGGCACACACCTAGATCCCAGCACCCCAGGAGCCTGAGGCGGGAGGATCACGAGCTCAAGCCCAGTCTGGACAACTTTCTGATTTAGGGAAAACATGGCTCAAAACAAAAATTTTAAAATGAGCCAGGAGAGTAACTTAGTGCGAAGGGTCAATCCCTGGTGCCAGAGAATAAATAAGTACAGGATAGAGCCCAAGGACTGATAGCTGCACATAGGCTCAGAAGGTAGGTGCAAGTTCCCGGAAACCATGGCACACAGTCTTAGAGAGGGGACGCACAGCCCTCCTTGGAAGCAGAACTCCTGGGTGATGTCCCCTAGAGAAGAACTGGGGGCACTGGCTGCTTAAAGAAAGGCTCTGGGACAGGGGGCAGAGAGAGACATGTCCTTCCTCCTGCTGCCTGGCTGTGCTGTGTCCCAGCCACATGGTTGCTGTCACACAGGACTGCTGCTCCTGCTGCTGCTGCTGCTGCTGCATGTGGAGCATCTCGGCAGGGCTGGGCGGTGACACAAGCTCACAGGGTAGAAGAGTAGAGGATCCAGGGGTGATTTTGGTGCAAATGGGGAGAAGCTGGAGACTCAGCCCAGAGGGCTGAGCAGGTTGGCCTACACCTACACCGAGCCACACCCCAGCCCCTGAGCAAGGCTTGGCTATGGAGCAGCTGGCTCCTCTGTGGCACCTGGCGGGGTGGGTTTGTTTTTAATGCTTGGTTGTTGTTGTTCCTTGTATGCATTGTTGCAGATGGAGCACAGGGCCTCAGGGCCTTCCAGGACCCTACAGCCACTACTTTATTTTTGTTTGTTTTGATTCTGTGAGGCAAGGTCTCATTACATAACCCAGACTGAACTCAATTCATGGCGATCCTCCTGCCTCAGCCTCTGGAGTCCCTGGGTTACAGACGTGCGACACCATAACCCACCAACCCCTCTTTCTAAGCTACTCTTTGTACCCTTGGAAATTTGCCCATCATGTATCTGCTGCCTGTCAAGTGCATGGGGTTGACTATTATAATTTTATTCAAAGATAGGAAGAGACAAAGAGGTCTCTGTCTACCAGCAAGCCCTGGAGGAGGCCATAGGAAACAATGAGGAATGTGGGGAGACTGGCTTGGCTCATAGACTAGAGGTCTGGGGACACAACCGTCACCTCCTGGGATCCCGATGGTCCTGTCCCATCCAGTACTCACATCAGCAGGCGGCCCAGCTGGAGCTCTTGTCCCTGATGCTGGTTTCAGGATCCGTGGTGACCACAGCCCCCCTGCTCCACGCCCCTCCCCCCACCACTGGTACCAACCTGGCCTCCTGGACATCCGTCCTGGGGAGGCCATGGGAGGGGAATCTAAGGCAATTGTCCTGGACCAGGACCAGGAGCAGCAGATCCAGCTGTGTCGGTTTATGTCCTAAACAACAGCAAGGTTCAGAAAGAGGGGTGCAGGACAAGAGGGAGGTTTTGGGAGGACGAGCTCTTTCCCCACTTCCATGGGAGCGATCCAAACCAGAGACTACCACTTCGAAAAAATACAGTTATTTAAGAAGCGAGAGTGAGGAGATGCATGATAGAGCTTTGATGGCAGAAGCTATGAAAGGAAAATACTTTAACTGAACCACAAAAGTAGAAAGTTGTATGCTTCAGTGGACACCCGGACTTTGATTCCAGCTCTTGGGGAGGCTGAAGCAGGAGGCCTTTAATTCCAGCACTCAGGGAGGCTGAAGCAGGAGGACTACAACTTTGAGTTTAGTCTGAACCATTTAGGGAGACTTTCTTTTAAAATAAAGAGATTAGGGATGTGATTCAGCACAAAGACCCTGGCTTCTGTTCTCAAAACTGGAAAAAACAAGAAGACATCGAGAATGTGAAAAGATGACCCACTGCATGGGAGAACATATTTGTAAACACAAATAGATCATAAAGGGCGGTGAGCAGACTGTAGAGAACTCAGAACTCGAGACATGTGAAGATGACCCATAGAAAACAGAAGAAGACATGAGTGGTATTTCCCGAAGGAGACACAGGAAAGCTCAACACTGTTAGGGAAATGGAGATAAAAACACATCGAGACTCCCCTTTCTTCCCACGATGACAGTGACAGTCTAGGACAGATGAGGACAGGTGTCCAGGGCGTGGGGAAGCTGGACCCGGGAGCTGCTTTATGACAAGAGCTGTACACAGCTGCAGCCGCGTGGAAAGCAAGTTGGCCAGCTCCGCAGAGAACCCTCCAGGGCTAAGCCACCGGATGTCCCCTGCCCCAGCAATCCCACTCTTGGGGGGACCCCTGGGGCAACCAAATCCTAGATCCCAGCAGAAATTTGGGCATGAGTCTCACTGGCAGCATTATCCATAATTGCCAACACGAAAACTTCCTAAGGTTCATGGCCCGAGGAACCAGGCACGCACGCACGCTCTGAGGGACACTTTCCTCAGTAAAGAGGCCCAAGCTGGAAAGACCAGGACCATGGGATCGCAATTCCATGACTCCTGCAGAAGCAGCGGAGACAAAGAGGTGAAATAGACAGAGGGTTTGTCCTAAAATTCGATTGTGGTGGTTATGCATGTTCTTAAACACCTAACCTCTCTCTCTCCCTCTCCTCTCTCTCTGTCTATTCCCTCCTTTCCCATCACCCCCACCCCTCTTCCTCTTATCTTCTCTCCGCCACACTTCAGTGTAACCAGGGATCCTAGCCACAGCCCAACCACGAGGGACCACACAAACGTGACTCTCCAAAACTATGAGCTAAGAATCTTTTTTTCTTTACACATCACACAGCATCAGGCATTCTGTTACAGAGGCAGGACAAGCTAAGACGCCATCCTAAGAATGTCATTCCATCCTCGCCTTGAAGCCAATTTCACACATATATGCAAGCAGCAGCCCTCGCTTAGGAACAGCTAGAAACGAACATGCATGATAAAAGCTCAAAAGAGAGGAAGATGGACGGGAAAACACACAGGGGCTGAGGGGCACCGCAGGAGGGGGTCGTTTTGCAGGCCACACTTTAGCACCTCTGCGGTAGCCTGTTTGTACCGTGGGGTGCCATGGAAGGGAGGGGGAGGCTGGGGCAGGCCTGGCTCCCCGGGGTTGGAGCCCCAGGACTGGCTGTGTCCTCCATCTGCACCCCAGCCCAGAATGCCGGGACAGGTAGCCAGGCCAGGAGTGAGCAACCTGAACGGAACTCCTCTCCCCTGGGGACAGACCCCACACCGTGTTGGGTGCAAGCCCTAGGGATGTGAAGGGGTAGTGAGGGTCCCGGGGCCAGCACCAGGTAGATGAGAGTGTCACCAAGGGCTGAGACTGGCGCCCTGTTGGCCACTTAATGGCTGGTAGGGGGGACTAGGGGCGTGACCAACTTGTAGACGGGGCGTGGTCATGCAGGGCTCGGGCGAGGCTTGGGGCGTGGCCACCTAGCGGTGGGGTGGAGCTCTGGGCGGAGCCGGGCCCCTAGTGGGCGGGGCGGGGCAGGACCGGGTTCTATAGGCAGAGCAGGCGCCCAGTGGGCGGGGCCAGGGTCTGGCAGAGCGGACCTCTCCCGAGCGGGGCCTGGAGTCTCCGGGCGGGGGCGGGCCCCGTGGGAAGGGCGGGGGGGGGCCGGGGCGGAGACGGGGAAGGGGCGGGCCCGCCTCGCGCGCACCTTGCTCAGCCCCGCCCGCTGTCCCCGCCACCGGCCGCGTCCCTCCGCCGCTGTCCTCCGCGGGTTGCAGGCGGACGATGGGTCCGCGCGGAGCGCGGTGAGCGCGGCGGGGCGGCCTGAGCCTGAACGGCCGGGCCAGCATGGAGGCGCCGCGCGCGCTGGCCGCCAGGCCCCCGAGCGGGTAAGCCGAGCGTGGAGTGCGGGCCGCGGGCTCCGTGCTGCGTGGGACGAGGGGAGCCCTGCCGCGTGAGCTGCGGCTGCAGCTCCGGCCGCGGCGGGCGGGGGCGGGCGGAGTCCACGCGCGCCGGGCCGGGAGTCCTCCCTGCGGTCCGCAGCGCGGCCGATCCCCGAGTGCGGATGGAGGAGATCGCGCTCTGGCCGGAGTCCCTTCGGCCTCTGGGCCCCAAGGTTGCAGAGGTTCCAGAGCGCTCTTCTAAAACAGCCGCCTTGGGCTTTGCGGAAGGAGCCAGCCAGGTTAGCAATTCGGATACTCTTGAAGCTGAGAGGCCTTTAAAAACATTATTTTTGCAGTGCACTTAATTGTGGTTATGTAATTCGTTTTTAACAAATAACCTCCTCCCTCCCACACACACATACAGACACCTCCACCGCCATGTAAATAAACGTGGGAAATCCTCCCAGGGTGACGGCCCTAAACGCAGGGCGGGGAGCAAGTGCCCAACCCTCTGCCGCTGTGCTAGGCTGCTAAAGGAACCACCTGAGTTGATTTTCCCACTGGCACCTTACAAACAAGGTGGGAAAAGAGCATTTATGAGGCCAGCCAAACTGTACCTCGCGTGTGTGTCCGTGTAAAGCCTTCTGCCTGTAGAAGTGAAACCAGGCAGTGTGGCGGGCATGGGGGAGCCAGGGCCACCCCGATCTCCGGGGAGGCCCAGGCTACAGCGGGCGCAGCGCTGCCCACAGGAGCGAGAGCTGGAAGTGGTCTCTTCGTGTGCCTCCCTCTTCTTCCTATGGCCTGATTTGTTTGTCTTTGTCCAAGAAATACAGACACAGGGTTCTTATTTTCCGCTGCTCCCAGCGACTGGATTATTTGTGAATACTTTGAAGAAATAAGGGTCAAGAAAAAAAGTCAGCGTGCTTATATTTTTCAGAAAAGAGTCTTTGAGTTTGATCATGCGTATTAGGTGTTAAGATCTGAGGGAAGTGGAGGGATCGGGTTTTGGAGTATTCTGTATTTTTAGGTGTATTGTCTGTCCATCTCTAAGGGCACAAGGGTGCTGAGGTTCCCGAGTGTGAGACATTCCCGGGGGAGCAAGTTTTGTTGATTTGTTATTGAACTTACTATCTCTTCTGGCTGCCTTCAGAACAAGCCAGCCTGTGCAACGTTTCAGTCTGGTAGCGCTAAGGTTGGTGGTAAAACCAAACTTTCTCTGAAAGGCTCTCTGCCCACTTGCCTGTGTCATCCCAGGATGACAAGAGGAGTCATTGTTTCATTGTGTGCACTCAAGCTTGCGTGGAAACAGTGAACACCCAGGGTTTGGGTGCCGGTCAGGAAGCCCTCATTAGCCTTCACGGTGGAGCAAGCTGGTGATCCCAGTGCCCTGGGAGGCTGTCAGGAGAAAAGCAAGTTCCCACGCTGCCTTGGGTAACTTAGTGAGACCGTCACCTGAAAGGAGACCGATTCCTGAAAGGACAAGTGGGCCAGGGAATATGGATTTATGGATTCTGGCTCTGATCACATTATTAGCAGATAGATCTTAGTTATCTGTGTTGGGAGCACAGATAGTTTTCCTTGAACGGAGAGGACAGTTTGTATCAGTAACTGTGCTTTAAGGAAAGAGACTATGTGTAAAATCTCCCGAACAGACTTGATGTGTCACCAAGGAACTTTAGAGCTCAGTTTGGGATAAAGTGTAATAATCAACAGGCTGTTCTAGAATACAGATAGAGGTGAATCACTTTTTGCAGAAGTTTAAAAATACACCAAAGCCCCAACCTTATCTGCTTACTTGCAGTTTATCCATTTTTTTGTGGCTTATCTGCTTGAGTGTCCATGAGATTCCTCCAGAGTCCTTTGTGAAGGAATCAGAGGGATTTTTTTTTTTTTTTTTTTTTTTTTTTTTTATGTTGCATTTTGACTGAGGCTCAGAAAGTTTGGGACCCTGCAGAGCAGCGGTTCTCTATTGTTTTCTAGGGAGGAATCACGCATTTGTGTAGAATGGCAAGGTCTCCTCCGGTGACGGTGACGGTGACACTAGATATCAGCACAGGGGGTGCATCCCGTCAGAGGTGTGCCCCTGAGCTTGTGTGTGGGAGATCAAGGGGCTTTCTGTTTTATCAGGTTAGCAGAGCACCAAGCAGTTTGCAAACATGTATCAAGTGGGTAACTTGAGCTACCTTACTATGGTTAACAGCCAGCATGAGCACAAGAGGAGGGCCTGGGCGTTGTAAGGGTCCCAAGGAACATGGCAGTCATGGGGCGAGCCAAACCCTCTGCATGGAATGACACTAAAGAATTTGCAACCACAACGCGTTGCTAGAGAAGGTGTTTGTATTCTTTCAAAAGAGAGCGTGGATAATAATTGTTATATAAGAATTTACCGCTCAATTTGAGCTTTTTTTTTTAAATGAGATTCCTGGGATTGAACTTGGTGGCATCCCAGCCCTTTAATAAGTTTGTTTGTTTGGTTGTTTTGTAACAGGGTCTCGCTGAGTTGTTTCTGGTGGAACTGAAGTTTGCACTTCTGCCCCAGCCTCCCACGAGGCTAGGATTGCAGGCATGCACCGCCACACCCGGCTCAGCTATGCTTTTAAAGAGATGTTACCTCTCAGCGGTCTTTATGCTGGCCATTCATTTAAGGACGTCAAAGTCAGGGATGCTGGATTTGTCAGTGTAAAGTGGAGAGTACGCCTAGGAATCTTATTGTTCTGTGGCTCTAAGTTTTAGTTTTAAAAGAAGTTGAACATTTCTGAGTCACAGTATTAAATAATTGTGGAACATTTTATGACTTCTCAGTGACTGGTCAGGATGAGGAAACCAGGTCTGACTACAGTTCGTGTAAAGATACTGGCAGACCGGGAGTCTATAGGTTTGCAAGCTGTGCTGTGTTTTTTGTCTCAAGACAGTGTCCTATGGTGGAGGGGGAGCTCTCCCACTGGTGGTGACCTGAATTCTGTGGCCTTTTTAACCTGGGACCTGAGAAATGAGGTCCTAACTGTAGGTACTCAAACTGCACCTCTAAATTTATTAAGAAAACCATGATTCTAAGATGCGTTCGCACACCATACTAGCCAGTGTGTGTTTGCAGGCTTTTGTACTTAGGAAATTTGAAATATGGTAACATTGTTCCTGTTTAGACTTGAGCTAAGTAAAGATACAGAGAGCCAGTGTATTTATGATATAGTGTGCTCCCGGCCTCTTATTCCTTCTTTCCCTGTCCATTTATTTGCTGGGCCCTATGATCTTGCATCATGAGTCTGTTTATTTTAATGATTTATTTCAGTGACCTTGAGGTTTGACATTTCTGGACCCACCGGAAGCTCGTACATGACTTCATCTTTGTACTATTCTTTACTTAAAATATGTAGCATTGATTTATGCTATTAGCATGTATAGATTTATTAACAATGGGCCTTTTTCAGTTTATGAGTTTCATTGATTTCAGTGAGCTGTCAATTTTCGTTCTCACCCCTGCCCCCACTTCGTGATTTGCTCCCCGGCTGCCCAGGTCCTTGGACTCTGCCCTGGAGGGCCCTTGCTGGGTGATCTGACCTTACCCCATTTTCCCCATGATTATTTTTCTCTTGACTCCTCCTGAAACTGAATTAAACTATTCTGCATGCTTTCTGTGATGTCAGTTTTTGTTTGTTTGTTTTGTTTTGTTTTCCCCCCTACAGTACTGGGGATTCAAGCCAGGGCCTTTTCACCGCTCTGTGTTTACATTCCCAGCCCTTGCTTACTTTTTTATTTGGACTAAGAGTCAAGCTAAGTTGTCCAGGCTGGATCAAACTTGTGATCTTCCTGCCTCAGCCTCCCATCATGCTGCGACTGCACCTTCACACCCAGCTCAGTGGCTTTCACTTCTGAGGTCTGAGGTTCACTGTCCTAGACCAGAGCCTGCAACCTGTGCCTGGGTCAGCCCTTGCACGCTGGAATTTGGGGCAGGGAGATTCCCAGTTGTCTCCCCTGTCGGACGCTGAGTTGCTGCTGGAGAAGGCCCTGTCTTCCGCAGGCCAAGTCCAATTAGGAAAAATTCTCCAGCCAGAAATACTTCTATTAAACAATAAGTAGGCAGCTTTTAAAACTGGCTGTCAGAGTCTGTTTTCCTTAGGCAGCTTTGATCAGACAGATCCCAGCCCACAGGTGCCTTGGCACGAGTTCTTCTGTGGATAACCGAGTAGTCCGAACCCAGGGCCTCTGCATGGAGGTGTGCCCCCAGCCTTCTTTGCTTGGTAGGTTTTTATTTTGAGATAGAGTCTTGCTAAATTGCCCGAGCTGGTATTAAACTTAAGATCCTCCTGCATCAGCCTCCCAGAAGGCTAGGATTACAAGGGTTCAAATCCACTTGAATAGATAAGAGTGACCGAAGTTCCCTGGTGGGCAGCAAGGCCCTGGCCTCTAGTTTCTACTGCTCTGCGGACTTTCCAGACTTCCTGCCGAGCGCTGCCTGCAGCCGCATCTGCTCTGCCTTGAAAAGCTGTATTCTGAGGTTTGCAGCTTCTACTGCTGAAAATGGGCCTTGGCTGGAGCTCACAACAAGTGAACGGCCAGGCTGCCCTGGAACGGCCGAGGCTCACCCTGCCCAGACCTGTCAGTTGGCTGGCCCTCCTGATTGCCATCTCCATGCCTGCCCCTAGCGTGGAGAATGTATGGGCTCTTCACCCTGCCCTGTGCCCAGGAAAGTGCTGGCCTCCAGAGCAGGCAGCCCCCAACCTCGGGGGAGGTGGTGGTATCCAGACAGTGATCCTGGAGGCCAGGCCTACGGCGGCTCTCTGTGTGCCACACACCAGGTGCTGATGCGCATTGCTTCTTAGGGTCTCAGTTCTGCCCACACCATCCCCACTCCTGCTTGTTCCCGTGGACACCAGTGTGGATGCCAGAGGAGGGTCCCCTAGCTCCAAGGCCCGGGCAGCTGCCGGAGGAAGCTGGGCCCCTGCCTGCCTGGCAGAGATCTTGTCTCAGCTGAGGCGTGACAAGTGCAAAGCTCATCATCTTGAAAGGTCCGTGTGGTCTTAGGCGTCAGCGAACAGGAGTAGAGAGAAGCCGACCCAGCCCTGCAGCGGTGTCAGTTGTGTGTGCACAGCTCGAGCAGTCAGCCTGGCAGCTTGACTGCAAGCCAGCCCTGTGTGTGCACACACGTACGGGTTCCCTTCCACTGCCCTCGAGGGCTCAGTCCACTTCTGGCAGTGCTTTTCTGAGCCTAACGATTTGGGAGTGCGTTGGAAAATGGTCTTGAGCAGGTGTGATAATTCAGCAGGAGCATGCACCTGCCTTTAGTTTGGTAATTTTTAAA